TACAAAAATTTGAGAATTATTTAATCTCAAACGCCCATATATCATTTATAGAAATCTAAAATTATGAAAGCCTCAGAATTCACATCCTTCTCTCATCTCATCTGATAAACTTGCAAAAAGGCGTGATCAAACAAATATAAGATGAAATATTCTTATTCATTCAAATTCATGCTCCTATTATATATTTGAGTATCCCTTTCCCTCTATTACCCTCCTCTTCAGTTTATTATGAACTATAGACTTAACCTTTCGTTTCCGATTTATAGAATTCTGATAAATATCTTTCAATTCAATGAAATTTAATCTCTCATATCATTTGGATCATCATACTTAATCCACTATTCCTTAAAGTCTTAGCCAAAATTACAGTCTCCTTTATTAAATATGGATTTGCATATTTGCAAGTTTAGTAAAGAATTCATATTTAGGTTCCTAACAATTAGCTAAAACTAATAAAAGTAACTAGATTAGAGAGATAATTATTTTGCTAAATATAACCCTCTTAATCTACTCTTTGTGAAAAAATTATACTTAACTAAAATAAATAAAGAACTATCTAAGGCTAATTATCACTCTCTAGGATTTATGCTATGTAAAATTTGTTGATGTCATTGCCCTGAGCAATATTGGTTTGCTTCAAATAAGAATCATAAAATTTATTATTGATCTTAAAAACATGGTAGTCAGCTTTGTAAATACAACGTTCATCAACTGCTATTCTTCCTTTAAAAATCTCTTTTATTATGTTAGCTTTGCTGCAAATATTTTAATTTAAAAGTAAATTTGGGACAAATAATTCTGCTTTTTATTTTTGTTTCTCAAACTAATCATCCATTTATTTTCTCTTTTTCTGATTAATAGATTGCTACTTAGTTCTTGTTCTAATTAAATGAAGAAAGCTATCTTAATTGTAAATTTAATAATCGCCATTGTTTGGCAACTGATTTCTTTAAGGCATTTAGTTGTAATCACTAGTTTTTATTTTGAAATAAAAAATATCTAATTCAGATAAACTGTTTGCTTTATACCTTGAATGATTTTCTGCATTAATTCATTTTAATAAGACTATAATTTCTGCTGCTGTCTCTTAAAATTTGTAAATGAAATCAATTGAATAAGATAACTTAACAGTGTTTAATTATATTGATATATTAAGCATGTGGATCATAAAAGATCTCCTATTTTTTGAAGTTTTCTTCTTCGTCTTCATTTAGAATATTTTTAAAGAATGGAGACATAGCAATTCGCCTACCTGTCCATTCTAGTGGTTTCTTGTAGAATCGGCCAGGAAGAATAAGGTTTTTATGATGAAGACATAATATTGATTTTCGTCCCATCATAGTCTTAAAATAGTTTAAAGAATTTCTTTTTTTCATTTTAAGATGCTAATTAATCCTAATCTAATTTTGAGTCCAACACTCTATCAATATATGAGGATTTTCTTTTTTTCATCTACTACTTTTTGAGATTTATTTAGGTTTATTCTTTATTTGTTTCATGGTTTAAGATCTTTATACATGTAGTCAATTATGATCCAAAACAATAACAAGGTAGAGAAGGATGTAATGATGACCTCAATTTGAGAGTAAAATTTTTAAATTACAATTGATGATCGTCTATGTATAGTATAATATTGAATTTGTAGCTTACAGGTTTTAATAAATCTAAGCAGGAGTTGGGGATTCAATTATTTTGGCAGTTAATACTTAAGGACAATTGATGTTAAAATAATTATTTGAAAAGGCTCTAAAAGAAATTAATGATATATTAATAGATTTGGATTATATTCCAGTACTAATTATTGATGAAAATAAATCAACACAAGAAGCACCCCATCTAAGAACAGAATTTATTTGGAAAAAATTACAACCTTAATTAGATGGTTACTATGAGTAAATAGCTGAATAAAAACAAATTGCAACTTAAATAAGTTTACTAATTAAATAGATTGAAATATATAAATAAGATATCAGTTAATAAGAACAATTATCAAAAAATTTTTTGAAGAAAATCAGTAACAAATAATTGGAAAAAAAAATGTGAAATTATTCTTAATTAATTATAAAATTGAACCATGTAAGACTAGATGGTTAATTATACAGTAAAAAATTCTATTTAAAAGTAAGAACACTACAGAAAGATGATTGGGCTGAGAAAGTGAAAGAGTTGAGATAAGAATGCATTATTGAAGAATCATAAAGAAGTCTTTGGTAAAGTTAAAGAATTGCAAAGAGATATTGACCCTTATAAAAAGCAATTAAAGGAGCATCAATCAAAAATAAAAAATTATCAACTGAGGTTAGGGATTTATATTAAAAAAATAAGAAGATTTGTATGTTTAAAGAAAGGTGCAGATAGTAAGTTGAGGGGAAAAAAATAATGTGGAATTTGAATGAGATAATATGAAATTAATTTTATAATATGAAGAATTAGAGAACGATATATCATGGCAATAGTTTTGCAAATATTTATGTAAACTGCAAATACACTGTTACTTATGTCTGAATAGAACAATACAATCCTCCTTTTCGATTGATCAAATAAGAAACAATTATATCAACTAGCCAACCTCACAAATTTTTTATCATCATCCTCTGTAAATGGCTTAGATATGTGTCCGTTTTTAATTGAAATACTGTTATTGTAGTCAAATAACCAAACAGAAAATGAATTTGGTGAAAAAAATCACTTTAGAATCATTAGGAAAATGGTCTTTAATTTACTGACTTAAAACTTGGAAATTACTTTTGAATCTATGCTATTATTAGAGTCATTTAAGTTTATTAACTAAATACTTTAAAACAAAACAGTGAAATCAATATCTGAAACTTTAATATATCTCAAATTTTCATAATCCATATCGACCTTTCGTAAGTTGACTCCCTAATCAAATATTTAACAAATTTGTGTCATAAGATATAATATATTTTTTTCCAATATTCACTTGCAAAAAACAAAATATTTACTTCTTCTAAATATAATGGAAAGTATGAGTTTGAAATTACAGAGTTTAATTCAATTTTTTTTACAGCTAAGAAACTAAATTAAAGTACTATCATTAAATAGCTGGATATTCAATTGAATAAACCATTTATCAATTTATAAATGAATAAGGGCTTTATTCATAAAATTGGCATTTGAATAAAAAGGGTTTGATATTTTCATCATCTTACTTTATTTTAACTTACTTACCATATAATAATAAATCGTTTGAATTAGTTATTGGATAAAAGCAGATTTAATAAATTTGCTTATAAAGAAATATAAAATCAATGTTTCAGCAAAATGTGTCAATGTAAGTCCTAATGGGGCTTATATAGCTCAAGAGTTTAATGAAGTATATCTAGAGAAGTAATATTTCAATGCGACAAAAATCTGTATTACTAGGGATTATATCACGTATTAAAAGGAACTGAACTCTTTGCCTTACTCTTAGAGTTTACCTACATGAAAGACTTTAAGGTTTTAGAGTCTCTTT